TCTTGGTTCTTCAACATCAACAAAGTGACGCCACAATGCGTTCAAAGTCTGTTTCAGATAATCAATGCCGAAATCAATGGCCAAACTTTGCCCGAAAACGACAGCAAAGCCATCGAAAGAGTGACCGAAAAGTTTAACAATTCGCTGATTTTCGATCCGTCGGAGGCGTCGATGGCGTACGCCATCAGAGATCCGGTTGTGTTCGGCACAGAATTCCAGAGCAATCCGCGAGGCTTTGCCAAAACGATATCATTGAGATCACGCATGACTGACGCCAATATTGTCATCGACGGCGGGCTGTCCTATAAGTTCAATGACGGCGCGAACGCCTCTTTCCTCATACTAGAAGAGGACGCACTCAGAACCGTATCATTAAAAGAATAATAACATTGTATTTATCAATGAAATTATATATAACTATCACTTTATTTGTTGGTCAAACACTGTGGGCAAAGATTGCCATCATTTCTGTTTCAATGGGATGTAGTTTTCCGGGTATTATCAGTGAGTGAAGCGGTTGTCCCATATCTATGTCCAACATATGCCTCAATTGACACGTCTTTATAGTCTGGTCGTCGCATCCAATCCTCGCCAACGCTATTATCACTGAATTCTCATTTATTAAATCACTCGGAAAACTATCGACAGGTTTTGATTGAATGATTTCTAACAATTGTTTCGATGCAATATTGGCGCTCATATAACGGGGCGGTTCGTACACTACCTTCCCTTTCATCATAGCTTCCATCGACTGTTCCTTCACTTTAATATCTGTAGAAATAAATTATATTACAATTTAGTCAATTGTTTATAAAATGAATAAAAATATTTTTACAATTATTTGCAAATTAAGCTTCGATTCAAAATCATTGAATACTTTTGTAGTTAAGACATGAGATATGCACTCATGAGTTGATGTTTTAATTGCTACTAATTTACAAATTCATAAACAAATACTAACCTAAGAGACAGAGTGTGTGTAAACCGGACTTTAGATTAGAGCAGATTTTATCGAAAAAACTGTTTGGTTTCCAACTGTCGGTCCAAAAGGGAATCGAAACGATTTCCCCGAAGTTATACAACTGAAGACCAGAAGCACCGCAAGCGTTGATAATCGACGCGTTGTGTATCAGTCGGTGTCGAACCCCCTTCTGGTGCGCCCTTAGGATCAGGTCTGTATGAGTTGTCGCTCTGTTTGTGTCCACGAGTTATCATTAAA